AGTAAATAGGCCCCTAGATCCCGCTTGAACTTCCAAGTAAAGGTACATAAATAGCTATTTGATCCCTTAAAAAATCCGCACTGATTTGCTTTCCAACTAATGGATGCAAATAAATAGCACACCCCTTCACTGAAATAGGTTGAAATGCTTCTATGCCTAATGTATACAGAGTGGGTGCTTAGCAATACATGTTGTCCTTGCACAACTTCTTGAAATATTTTTCATACCACCACTTGGTTTTTTCAACTCCTATGTTCGAAGCAAGTTGATGTCTAAATAAACCACGAATTACAAATTTTCAGAAAAGCTCTATTGTTATTTCACGTAGCAATTCATAGCAAAGTAATGAAAGCAAAAGACCTATAGCAATAACGGAATGACCCGAATAATCAAACCGTTTTCCTAAAAGAGTCTCATAAAATCTTCCCTCTTTGCTTTAATTACATCTCAAAAATGACTTGTAAACTCTATTATGATCATCCCTCATTGGTTGTCCTGGGATTCCATTATCAAGAGACAAAAAGTGTATCCATAACTTCTTGTACTAATTTCTCACAAATTACTAGTTCTCGTGGTGTGAATCTACTTGTTAATAGATCGACAAGAGTATTGTTCTAATATGTAGTTCTTCCATAGAGTAATATCCAAGCTCGTTAGTTTACCCCATCTATCTGAATGATGGGTCTCAACTCAAGAGAAAGAATCGATAATAGGCACAAAACCAACCATTTGAGTTCTATACCCATTAATCATTTATCATGTGCGGAGTATCTATCGCGTGACCTTTGACCATCTTGTTAGATATTTGAATGGGACACCTTGCGCACAATGTTAAAATGTTGGAGACTGCCACAAACTAAATGTTGTGGACATGAATGCCACACTTAAGAAATGTTGGGGATCCCTAGAAGAATTTACCTTTATTTAAACAATGTGAGATTTGTTTGAGCTTTAAACATAGTAATTTGTCACGATGAATCTATCTTGAGGCGGCCAAGAAGGGCGACTGGTCCTCGACTGCGATTCTTGCACGTGTCAAATACAATGGTTTGAGTCAGAATCCACCATTGTCACGGGTAGAATTGTAGAAAAATTGTTTGACATAAATAAGATTTAAGGAATTTAGTCAAAAACATATATAAATTATAACTTGTGACCCTTGGGAGGCTGAAAAGATTTTATTACATCATTAGCTGAAATTATCTTTTTAAAGAAAATTTGTTTATTTTTTTGGGTTATATATCTTAGTTGGATCCACTCAAACACATCAAATTGATTGGACAATTTCAAAGTGCTATGTCCTAACTTCTTATATCACCATTTCTAGTAATGAAATGCTGACACAAATATGTACTTTTTAGTGTTCCATTCCTACTAGGTACAATTTGTGGATTATGACATTCGCCAAAACAAAATTTGGAGAGGATTATTTCAATTTCTTTCAGTATTTTGAGAATTACTCTAGATATAACATCTTAATTAAGAATCGAGTTAAAACCTGATCAATTGGTTGGTTCAATCGGTTATGATCATGTATTACGATACATTGTTATGAATATCTTTGATATTATAGAATATGTGCATCAACAAATATTGGTACGATTTTCGAGTATGTCGCACGACTATTACAAATTATAAGGATAGATAGTGTAAATGACAAAATTATTTAAAACTACCGATATATAAATGTAAATTTATGTCAAACCATGTAGGTCTAGATTCATCGAAATGAACCTTATTCACCGTAAGTCGTGTAAAACATTGTGATGAATAGGTTACAACTCATGTTCATGCGCCTAAATCCCACTTGTGCATTATTACTTTTAATCCTTAATGGACATTGCTTTCCTTTATTAAACATCATTTATCATTCTTTGTTTTCTAGTGATTAATGAACACATTTTTTTTTTTTCTTTTCATATCTGGCCATTATTTCAAAATCTCTCAAAGGTTCTTTTAATTTCCTGTGCATGTAATGAGTAATCTTATGACCTCAAACCAATGCTTATATGCCACTCGAACCGTTCATATCGAGTATGTTTGGTAAAATATTTTTGTAGATAAAAAATTTTGGAGTCTTGCGAGTAAAATGTGAATAAATATTGTAACCATCTTATAAGTTTAAAAAAAATATGATAAACAAACACGATATAAATCAACTTATTTTTCATATTTCTCTTTTTTTTTTCATTAATTGAGAATGATAATTTCTAGTGACATAGTTTTGTTCACTTTCAATAAACTATAATATTTCATAAGCGACTCGACAGGAATCATTTAAAAACCAAGACAATGGGATAATATAATATCTATTACTTTAATTAGACAATTTGATTTACAACTTTACGCGTGGGATCCCACCATACAAGGTCAGAGGAGCTGCTGCCGATTTCCCAGGACAATTTTTCTATTTCGGCAGAACACAAAGTGGGTAGATGGTGGATTTGCCTCTCTCTCTCTCTCTCTCTCTCTCCACCAAAGAAGTCCAATAGAGCATGAGTAAGCTTTATGAAATGCTTACATGGGCAATAAGCGCACTGATATGCCGAGTCTACGAACTTCAGATGCAAAACAAGGAAACCTTTGCTTTAACGAACATTGATCATTATTATATACACTCAAGAATTTTCTCCACGTCCAAATTTGACCCTTTAGTCTCATCAATGAACACAAACTGAAGCAATGGCCTAATTGTTTCCCCTTACATAAACCCCCCTATTCTACCTCTCCCAAAATGTACCCTGCCCTCCCCAGTTTCTCTTCTTTAAGCTCCGACGAGTAATTCAATCTTGTCGCGTAGAATAATGGCCTCAAGAGATGAATCCGACCGCAGTCGAGCTGTGTGGCGATCATGTTTGGCTGCAGCGTTTAAGACTGGATTAGCCTGCACTATAGTTGGTTGCACCACCCTATACGGACCTGAGGCCATCAGGCGCGAAATAGCATTCCCAGCGTTTTCGTACGTTACGGTTATCCTTATAGTGACCGACGCCACATTAGGTGACACGTTACGTGGATGTTGGCTCGCCTTCTACGCTTCATTCCAAGGCGTTTTCCCGGCTATCCTCAGCCTGTGGTTGATTGGACCGTCACGACTCACCACGAGCACCACCGCAGCCTTGGTGGCGGTGAGTGCATGCTTGGTGGTGCTGCCGGAAAACACCCACTTGATATCTAAGCGTATAGCGCTTGGCCAGATAGTCATTGTCTATGTAATAGGTTTTATCAATGGCATGCACCCTGAGCCCATTATGCATCCTATCCGTGTGGCTGCAAGCACAGCCCTTGGAGTGGTGGCTTGCGTTTTGGCCCTTTTGTTCCCCTATCGAAGCCTGGCATGTCACGAGGTAAAAATATTAGTAAAAGCTGCTAAAATCATATCTATTTTCAAAATAAGTTATTGGATATTTCCTAGTAAAAGCTGGTAAAATCACATCTATTTTCAAAATAAGTTAAAAAAGAAGATCTTGTATCGGAAGACATGCACAATGGTATTCTACATGGATAACGTTCTTGATAGTGTCTCGTGTCCTGTTCAACTCATCGGACATGTCTTAAAGGGTTCATAACCTAGCTATTTTGAAACAGAAGGGAACTTTCTAAACCTGCTTGAAGTGAAATAATAAACATTGACAAGATGTCTCTATTTGGTTCCCATTTTCTACAATTTATTTTTCTTCAAACTCCTTTTCAACGACACATTTCATGAGAATCACAGTTTTTATTAACTTTCCAACTACTATTTTCATCCATTTTTATCAAAATATACTAAAAATATGATTTTTAGCTAAACTAAACGGGGGCTAATATGCTGAATGATTAAATTGAGGACTAAATATTGGACAAATCTACTTTGCCAGAAAGATTTGACAGAAAACTTGACATAATTACATGTGGCAGTAGATGATTAGATGAAAAAGCTGGTTGTGTCTTAAACTGTCCAATGATAGAATGATGCGTGGCATTATGTCAAGTTTTATGTCAATCTTGATGTTCGTGTAGCATGGTTGCTAAATATTTATTTATGTTTTTGTGTTTCAGGTGACGGAGAATTGCAAGCTTTTTACTGAGAATGCCTCTGAAAGGTTAAAGCTCATTGTGAAGGCATTTTTGGCTGAAGATAACAAATCGAGACAGGCATTGATCTCTCAAGAGAAGTCCTTGTCTGTCTCAGGAACCAAGCTTCTCCATAGCATTAAGTCGAAGCAAGTAAGTCTATGAATGGGCATGTTTGGTTGGTACATAATATTGAACATGACTGAATAATAAAATGAAAAAGACTAGAGTATCTTATTCTTTCTTAATTCTGTCTATACTATATAATCTTCGTTACCTTACCGAAAGTGCTATTATTATTCCAATTCTATTTATTAAGAAGTGAATTAAGTTTTAAAACTTCATCTGCAAATGTTCGTGAACAGGAAAGCATGCAGTGGGAGAGGTTTCTAGTCATGTTCTTCAAATTGTATTGTACGAATCCCGGAGAAAGGCTGCAAAATCTTGAAAGAATCTTGAGAGGAATGGAGATTTCTCTAACCAATTGCTCTCAAATTCCAGTTAGATTAGCAGATCCAGAGCTGGAAAATGATCCAACAAGTAGTGTAGAAGAACATATTTCTAATCAAATAAAGAGAATGCCCCCTGTAATGACAATTATCCAAGAATCTCAAACAGAAAATGATATGAAATTCCTCCAAAAACTTCATACCATTATCCCAGTGACAGATAAAGATTTGCCTTTTTTGTTCTTCTTGTTTTGTTTAAAACTTCTTCAAGGCAAATCAGCAGCTACTTCCCCAAAAGTTTCTGGCAAACAAGGGTCAAATGACTCAGAAAAACAGAAAAAATGGCACTTTGGGGATATTTGTAGTATTCCTATTCGAATAAACAAGAGGAGACTGATGCCAGCTTTCAAATCCTCACTCTCATTAGGCTTAGCCGTTCTACTTGGTTTGATGTATAGCAAGGAAAATGGTTTCTGGGCCGGCCTCCCGGTTGCCATAAGCCTTGCATCAGGAAGAGAAGCTACATTTAAACTCGCAAATGCCAAAGCTCAGGGGACAGTTATTGGAACTGTCTATGGTACCATATGCTGTTTTATTTTTGGAAAGTATATAAAACTCAGGTTCCTGTCCCTTCTTCCCTGGTTCATTTTCAGCAAATTTTTATGTAAGAGCAAGATGTATGGACAGGCTGGTGGAATTTCGGCAGTTATAGGTGCAGTACTGATTTTAGGTAGGGAGAATTTCGGTCCTCCGAGTGAATTTGCCATAGCCAGAATAGTCGAAACCTTCATTGGTTTATCTTGTTCCATTATGGTAGATATTCTACTTCAACCCACAAGAGCTGCTACTATGGCTAAAATTCAACTTTCTACTACTATTGGAACGCTGCACAAATGTGTTGGAATTATAAGTTTTAGCACTATTTCCAACTTTGAAGAAGGCCAAAAGCAGTTTAAGTTTCAAGTAAATGAGCTGGGAAAAATCATTGGGGAAGCTGCTGCAGAGCCTAATTTCTGGTTCTTGCCTTTTAATAGTGCTTGCTATGGTAAACTCCTCGAATCATTGTCAAAAATGGTAGACCTCTTGTTTTTCGGGGCTCAAGCCATCAAATTGCTAGAACAAGAATCCAGGAGAATTGATAGTACGCAATGGAAAGAGACTGTTTCTAAGCTAGATGGTGATCTGAAGCTTTTCAAAGAAACTGCTGTCTCAGCAATAAAATGTCTGGAGGAAATCAGTTTGATCAAATCGCTGGCAGCACTCGACAAGGAGTTCGAAACCAGAAAAGGCTCTCTTGATCTCGAACTTGGGAAAAGAAGACCAATCGACCCATATGTGGTCCAGTTTTCTTCATCAAGCGAAGCTGATTGGACGGTGAAAAATGTAAATTCTTTTCTTCGCCATTCAGACGAACTTCTTAGCCATATCAACATAGGGAAAGACGAGGAAGAGTTCAAGAACCAAGTGATTTTGAGCTTGGGTGCCCTGGCCTTTTGTATTAATAGTATAGCGAGAGAGACCAAAGAGATAGAGAAGGTAATCAAAGAAGTTTTACAGTGGGAGAATCCCTCAAGCCAAGTAAATTTGTACGACATTTTATGTAAGATTCATGCTACAGCAAATACTGTAACAATTTGAGATCAAAGTAAAGGTTGCAAATATTCTTTTACGATGTGTATGTGAGTTATGGATTGCCACCTGACGATTTACCAAAGATTTGAACCATTTTAATTGTTTGGGGGGTTGGTTGTGCAACTACAACTCTAGAATGGAGAGTGTACGACAATCTTTCAATGTTGCACCATGAACATAGAATAGGAGTACACAAGAGTTACTCTTGCTTGAAATCGCAAGTTACGATATTCTAATGAGTAATAACGTAACGAGCAAGTGTTGGTCCCAACAAGAACGGCTTTATTAATTATCGAAATTGATTAATCCTGCATTTATTTGAAAAATCACATGTTTGAGTAATAAAATTTATGAAAATGAAACTAAACTAGTGAGCGGCTTAGACAAATCGAGAATTTGTAACACTAGAGCATCGATATCACTATTTTAATCCAATTTAATTCTTTTTTACCATGTCATCGGAGTCTATTACTCATGTAACCCGTTCACTCCCCTAACTTATTTATAGTAAAACCAAAACTACTTCTACAGACGAGTTAATTATATGTGCCGCACCCATTTTTTTATTCTAATATCCGTACATTTAATTATATTTTACTGTCGAATTTTACAATGCCTCAGTTTGTGTAAAATTAAAAATTAATCAAAAAAATATTATCTGAATTTAATCAAAATCAAATATTAATTTTAGTCCCACGTTCAAAATTATTTATTTACCAACCACAAAAAAAAGATTCAATATTAACTAATCCTCTGAAACAACGTTTGTGGCCTATTTTTGGACCGTACCCAAATTATGACCGGACAAAACTTTCGAATCGAACCGAACCCGAATCGAATCGAGCGATTCTTTATAAGTTAAATACCCAAATGGATATTTGAATCGATAACCGATAAGTTTGGTTCGGTTCTCAATTGTAGACCCAAAATCGAAGAAGAATCGAATTTTTTATATTGAATTAATTTTTTTTTATTTTTTGAACAAATTAGCAAATTAACTAATTTAGTGATTAATATTCTAATTCCCAAGTCAAGTCCATGCCTAGCTAGCCCAACCCAACCCAATTTCTAAATTCAATTTTTTGGTCCTATTATTAATTGGGAACAATACATAATTCTTTATTTTAAAGATCACTTTTCATAAATAACAAATTTCAAAATCAGGTGTTAAATCTATTTATTAAATATTTTTAATTATAATATAATACAATCATCCCAATTTATTAAATTTCAGAGTGTCAGTTCTACTCCGACCATCAACTCCCAATTATCCCAATTATATTGGAACAATACATAATTCATCTCTATCCTCTCCCTACCCCTTCTACTTCGATCATCTACTCCTGCGACTATTTCAGCGATCACTCCGACTGCCTCTCCGACGATCACTCCGGGGAGCGCTCCAATGACAGTTCTAACTGCTCCAATAACCATTCCAATGCATGCTCCGATCAACCTACTCACCACATCCATCCACTCCCAATTTCCAAAAATATTCCAGAATTTCAAGTCACAATTGGTCACGACGAGTCACAAACAGACACAATCGGTCACAACCAATCACAATCAACACATATTTGATCGAAATCTCATCCCGTGCCACCAAATTCAAACATCGTCATTGCACCGGAAAAACCATATCCAAAAAACTACAAATTGGAAAACCATCAACCGCCATCGCATGTTCCCAACAACCACCACCTCCACATCCCATGCTTGTTCCCAACAACCCGTGCCTGTTCAAACATCACCGCCTCTACCTCCACCTCCACATCCACATCCGGCACACCATCATCCCGTGCTTGTTCCCAACAACCACCACCTCTACCTCCACCTCCACATCCGGCACACCATCACCACCTCTACCTCTACATCCCACACACCACACCTCACCACCATCGCACAACCAGAAATGCAGTGTCACCACCACGACCACCTGCACCACCACACCACATCACATCACCACTATCACCACCATAACAAAAAAGCGACGGTGTCGAAGAGAGAGAGGAGAGATCGGAAACAAAAAAATCGATCTCAGCAGCTTTGTTGTTCTCACAACCACCAACCATCGCGATTTTGGGATCAAAATCACTAGCAACCTCACGTTGACCTCACCATCTAGACGACACCCAATCTCATTCCTCAGATTCGAGCTGAGCGACGAACGGAGTACCTCAGTGCGTGCAGATGAGCTTCGCTGCGAGCGACGTTATCACTGAGATTCTCTTCCGATGGTGACGTTAGGGCTGTGCAAATCGCCGCTACTTGTGAGCGGCGCTATGGAGGTTAGTGAGAAGGGAGGTAGAGAGAGAGAGACGAGCGAGAGATATGGATTGGAAATTAATTGGGTTTTAATTATTAATTTAATTAATACCTGGTTTTTTATTAAATAAAACTTAAACCTGATTTTTGAAAACTTAAATTTCTGGTTTTAGGTAATTTTCTCTTATTAATTTCATTCTTAGCCCAAGATCTAGACATTTTTAAATTTTTATCGTTCTCTTTCCAATTTCACACTTTCATTCAGTAACCACTGAGTTAATGACCTCAAATTATTTGATAAATTGAAAATCTAAATCTACATGTCCAAATCAAAATCGCCGACTTCCCCTCTCAATGCCTATCGAAGCCTCGACTTTCAACCACGACCACCGATCGCTGATCATTAGAAATTTGAGAAAAAATTAATTATGGTATGGAATCTAATTGAACGAAAACGAACTTGAACGGTTCTATAATTATATTTGGACCGACAATTCCATTTATTAAATACCCAAAAATTTTGATTCGATTTGATTCTCAATCCAATTGAATCGAATCGAACCGAACCGAACCGAACCGAACCGAATCGAACCGAATCGGAGCACGTCCGGCCCTAACCCAAATATTGCACATAATAAAGCGACTTTGATTGGCACGTGAAGATAAAGTAAAAAAGAAGTTCATATGCTGGAAGAGTTGCAAAAAGAGGAAACAGTATCATTTCACTTTGTAAATCATTACTATTTACTACTACTCCTAATCACAAAGCCCAAGTTGAGGAAAACCCTAATTTTTATTTTGATTGAGATGGTGAATATCAGAATATGTGATGGGTTCTGATGGAATAGTAAAGATGATGAAGATGGAGGCGTTGCCGAAGGGATTCAGATTCCGACCGACAGATGAGGAGCTCATAAATCATTACCTAAGGCTCAAGATCAACGGCCGTCATTCCGAAGTCAAGGTTATACCCGAAGTTGATGTCTGTAAATGGGAGCCCTGGGATCTTCCTGGTATTTGTTTCAGTATTGAATATTTATATTCCTATATCTATGTGTATTTCTATATTAGTATCAATAGATACGTGTTTGTAAAGAACATATGCGTATATGTCATGATTATTCGATTCTTAGATGTTTACCCTAGAAAAACGTAGGGAAATTAAAAAAAATTAATATTCAACTTGTGTGGCATATATACTCTTGTTCTCAGCACACAATTGTAAAATTATTGCGGTAAAGGAACTATGAATTTAGAATTTGTTCTTGGGAATTTCCCCTTAATGTGTAATTTTTTAAGGTGTTTTTTTTTTTTTGGGTATAACAACACGGGACATGTCCCCGTTGGCTCAGTGGGCATTGTCAATTTGTCTCTAAAATGTTACTTTCAATGGTAATAATGCCTAAACTTTCATAATCTGTTGGAGTAAAGTTGGAGGGAGAGTAAGCTTGCGGAAATGCTTATTTAAGAATTTCTTGAAAACCATTATCATCTAACAATAAATTGATTATGTTCCTGCAAGAGGTGGAGTTTGCCAACCCATGAGCATACTTATGAGACAGACCTGCCGACCCTAACAAAAGTGAAGGAAAATAAGAGAAAGATGACAAAGAGATGCCACATGGTACAATGTTACTCTGTCCAAACAAATGAAGACCAGTCTAATTGGATCTTTGAAGTGATCAGAGGATGTTCCTGCACTTTTTTATCGTGGCTAGGTGGCCTCTGCTTCTCATCTGGTTCTAAAATAAATGCATATAAGAAAGAACAGTTGATTTGAATTCTAAACTAATGGAATAAATTCTTTTGCAATTATATTTCGAATTAGTCCCTTTACTAAGTGGAAGGTAGTGGAAAATGAGGATCAATGTAGACTACCTGTGTATCTGATAATTATGGATAAGGGTTAGTTGAGCACTCGAAGTTGTATCTTGTATTTTGCATTAAAGAATCTTGAACTCAAGCTACGTACTTTTTTTTTTTATTTGTTACTTGCGAGAAATTGAAAAATTGAATCAATTGGTTATGTGTTCTCTTCTGTGCAGCACTGTCAGTGGTAAAGTCTGATGATCCTGAATGGTTCTTCTTCTGCCCGCGTGATAGAAAATATCCAAATGGGCATCGTTCTAACAGGGCCACAGAAGCTGGTTTTTGGAAGGCCACTGGCAAGGATCGTACTATAAAAGCGCACAAATCAACCTCTTCTGGTCGCTCTAGTGCCCACTTCATTGGCATGAAAAAGACTCTGGTTTTCTACAGGGGTCGTGCTCCCAAGGGTGAACGTACAAGTTGGATCATGCATGAGTATCGTGCTACTGAACCAGATCTTGATGGCACCAGTCCTGGCCAGGTCAATAGATATTTCTTCTTCTTATCTCTCTCTCTCTCTCTCAGTTGGTTGTTTTTTACTTTTAAGGACTTTAGGGTTCATGTAACTTTGAAATTTATTGACATCTACCCTTTCTCAGATGAGGTTGCTAAGTAAATATGCCAACTTAAGCATCACCTGTTTCATATTTTTGTCTCGAAGCTGAACTTGCTGCAACTGTTCACTCCCACAATTCTCCCTATTAATTTAATCCTTCTTTTCTGCTTGTTAAACTCGAAGTTGAAGATTCTGTTAATGAAAGTTACATGTTGATGATTGTAAGCCTTTGAAGGTCTGTCTTCAAGTGGTCCATTTTTATACCACTTTGTCAAATTGCGGTTACCTGTTGAGGTTTAATTTTGATTGCATTATAGTCATTAATTTATGAAAATAAGGGGTAGAAAGACTTGCATGTATTGTCCTTAATATATGAACTTTTATGCAGAAAGAGCTGAGAAATCTTTTTTGTTCACGTTTGAAAGAGTAAAATGTGCATTATCATAAACTGAGCAGGAAAAGATCCATATACAAATAAAAAAGCTGATTGTGATTTTTGAAGAGTCTTTCCCTAAGGGCATAAATCACTTGGTGGATTAATTACTGGGCTTAAACCACTATTTATGTTATCAGATACTTTGGCGTCTTGTTCCCATGCTACGCACCTAGAACTGATTGCCTCCAACACCGCCCCCCTGCAATTTCCAAAAAGAATGTATTTGTTGGTGACATATTCCAAATCACTCTTGCACATCTATCCCTTTCTCCATGAACCTCCTCTGTGGCCAGTTTTTTCTCTCTCTCAATATTCTTTTGCTAACTTGACTCTTAATGTTATGCATTTATTTATTGGTGTATGTATATATAAACCAGCGGGAGTTTCCCCACTCTTCTTTGATACGTCTTAGGACCGATGTCAGCCTCGACCCGAGCAGAAGAATATAAAGGGTGTGCGTGTGTTTTTTATTTTGGTTAATCAAATAAAATTCAACAATTTTAGTATTATGTGTTTGCATATCTGGTTTCTTACCCTTGTATGTGTGTAGTCTTGGTATTCAGCTCTCTCTATCACATACTGCAGGGAGACTACGTGCTATGCCGCTTGTTCCACAAGCCAGATGAGAAGCCAGACAGTTCTAAATATGATGAATTTGAACCAACCGGATTGTCTCCTTCCACAAACAAATCCTCTCCTGACGAGACATCATCAGATTTTTTTCAAGAACCTTCAGTGCTAGATATGCCAATATGCAAGGAGCCGGGGGATGTAAAGGGGTGTTTGACCTACGAGTCAGAAAACACGACTCCTAACATCCTTACACCAGTTAAAGGGTATAGATCTGATGAAGTATTTCACTCGGCAGAAGAAACATCTCCTGAGGTGAGAGGTTTATCAATTTAAACTTTGTTGGTAACCATCTCTTATTTTTTCCTATTTTATTATTAAAGAAAGTTAACCTCCAGAACCATTGTCTCATGTTGAATTACTTCAGGTATATGCACCACTAAGAGCAAATTCAATGTGCCAAGATTCCACAAACAATCAAATTGATCATAAGGTTGTGTTGCCATTGTCATTCCACAATTACACCGATTTGGGGGCTCGCGTGGGTTCACCATTTGCTGATGACTTTGGCAATGATCACAATGGATTTCATTTTCAAGATGGCTCATCTGAACAGGATGTGTCCCTGTCTGAGCTGTTGGAAGCCCTTCAGAAACGTGACAATTACTCTTATGAAGAGCCAACTAGTCACAAGAACTCGGTCATGACTAGTGAATGCTTTGTGCCAGATTATACTAACGGTCTGAGTGAAAGGCCATCTGCGAACTGTAAGCTGAGTGACTATAAACTCTACAGTGGGACAGATACTGAAATGGTTCCAGAACAGGTTAGGAAGCATATGATCTGATATGTTTTAGAAGCTGCATTTGGAATTGTGTTGTCTAAAAGCATATTTTGTGTTTTAGCTTGAGCATCTCTCAAGTCCACAGCATTGTGTCCAGTATTGCTTTTTAAGATCTATTAATCGTGGTTATGTTTTTAAGAATACGATTAATCATCGGGTATTTAGTTGCATTTTCTCTTCTCAAAACCATCCAGTCATGGTGCTGTTCGAGAATATAGTGTCTATTTCTCTTATTAATGTCATGGACTTCCTGCAGGGGCAAACATCTTCAAGATTCTTCCATGCTCTGTCATCTGATGGTTCTCTTTCAAATTATGCTGCTGAAACAGATGCTTCATCTGCCAATATTGTTATGGATTCATATTGCAACCCACAAGACTCGCTCTATCATGCAAATCCAATCAAATATGGCAGAAATCCTGTTGGTGGAACTGGGATTAAGATTCGGCCGCGTCAGCATAGAAATAAACAAATTCCAGGAACAGCTCAGGGAACTGCCTCTAGGAGAATTCGTCTGTTGATCGAACCTGGACCAGAGTCTTTATGTACTGACAAGTCTTTAAATGCCAGCAGCACAGAAAAACAAAAATCAGCAGTTCTGGAGGTGAAGTCCATTTACTGATCTGGAAAAGTTTTAGTTTTTTTGTGATACTCAAGCTAGGCACTTGACAATTTAATCGAGCGTGATAGCTTTTCCTATAGATATATAGGCGCACTGCTTCATAGATGAATTGCCATTTTCTGATAGGCCACTGTGTTCATAAAATTTATTTAGAAAGTGACTTTTTTCCTGTTCTTACTATTGCTTTGTTGTTGAATGCAGGTTGCCAAATATATTGACAAAACTTTCGAGTTTCCTGAACCAGGGGGAAGAATTCTCAATAAGAAAATGAATACTGCTCAAACGAGTAATCCAAGACTAAAGTTAACAAAACAGGGTGGTGAAATGGGCAGTGCAAAGACAGGGTCGTTTATGTTATTGTTTGCTCCTAGGGGCGCAAGTTATTTGACCCTATATGCTATCTGCTCATATCTAATTATAATCCTGTCCGTAGTTTTCCTTGGGGTATGGAAATGTCCAAGTTTGCGGTCTGTGCATGGTTAATGTGTTTAATCTAGTCTTATGTATTGAGGTCGTAGTTCTTTTCATGCTTGTGTAAATCCTATGTAGGAAAATTTCATGATGCATAATAAACAAAAAAATTAGTTGCAAGTTCTGTACTTCAGATTTCCTTGTTGGATAGATTTACATTTGTATAATCTGCATTGTTGTCAAATTTTCACCTTATATGTTTGCTTAATGTAGATTATAAGCAGTGTGTCCTTCGGAATGTGTGGATAAAAGTTGTGGATCCTTTAGAATGATATTTGACCAATTTATAAGCATGAAAAAGCACTGCCAAACATGAGTAAATGATGTACATTTTTCTGGTTGTATAAGCACAGTATATGTATATTTTATTCTGGCATTTTAGACATCATTTTGCAATTTTATCTAGCTGAGAATACTGGCGGCTTTGAAATGTCGATTACAAAATCAATACTATGGAATTTCCTATCATGTGAACTTGTATCAAGGTAACTAGCTTCTTTATATATCTAAAAATGGAAGAAAAATCTGTACGAGCAAGAAGTTGTGAATGTGTGATATACTATATTAAGAATTTTATGACATAACTTATAAAAAAATTGTCTATAAAAGGTCCCTTGATGTTGTGGATACTATAGTACTAGGTATTGGGTATGAATAAGAATGTAGTTAGTTTGATGATTAAAGAGCACTTTGAAATATACCATTGGCAATCGTAATGGTAATAAGAATAAATATAGGAATCTTTGTTGTTTGAAGAATCATTATAGGTATGAACATAATTTTAGAGCGAGCTTACTTGAATATTATATAGTGTCTCAAACTAGTATCACGAGCCTTTATTGTTATAAGCTAAGAACGTCTCCTATACATTCTATTAATTGTAGTTTGCGTGGGGATATTAATGTTTTACGAATAGATAGTTAAATCTAAAATCAATGGATTATAATTTATATCTATAACCCAATACTCCTACCCACGTGCATTCTATCATTCCTAATATATAATAAATTAATAAAATGGAAAGGAAGAGAACCTAAAAATCATATCTTCTCAACACGCTCGAAAGATTCTCTCTGTGCATAAACAAGAAATATTATCTTGGCTTTTCATCTTCAAGTTCTGGGATTTTTGAATGTTAACTTTTTGATTGAATCTTGAGGGGTTTTTTGAAGAAAAATATGGAGTACTAATTCAGGCTTGTGAGCTACTCATTCCCTCGCAGGGAAAAACACAATTGCTACAGCCTTCCTTGGAAAGAATTGCTACAATATCCAAAACAATCGAAGTATTTGCAGAGAAGTCCATACAGACTTAATGTCCTGTATGACACGAAGCTTCAACCACCGTGAAACCACACCTGCAAGCAAGGACCAGCCCGTCTCTAGGTGCCAAAGCTTCAGTATTCTCAGTCAACAAACGACCTCTCATTGGCTTAGACGCCTGACAACCCGAGTAGAATCCAGACTTCCCTCGGAAACCCCATCCGATTCTGGACAACTCGATAGTGCTGAGGCAGCCTGAATAGTCCCATTAGTGCTCCGTTCCGTGTCTTATGCTCCATTTTTCAGCTCCCCATATACACCATACCCAGCACCTCTTATCCACGGTAGAAAATGTTATGAATGACACTTTTCATGAAACACTTGACTTCCAAATAATACACCACCCGGACAACCTATCAGAACTCGTTCCTGATCAGAAAAGCATTCTTGCCTTTTCAATGCTTCAACATTACGTGTACATTTCATTAAAGCAGATCATATTTGGTTCATTTTTCAAGCAATCGTAACAAGATATAAGAACACCCACAAGCAAAAATGCGCATAAAACAATTAGTTCTACACTGTTCCATGAGATAATTGAGGCAGGAAAAACCATCGTCTCTAAGTAGGAAGTACAAGTATGGCACAACTTGAAATTATAATAAGAGAAATATGTTGCTACTTCCCCAAAACAAAAATTGACAATGCGAGCAAATATGTGATTCAGTACACAGGTCGTCAAAGAAACTTAAATTTGCCCCTTCCGATATAAGACAGCATGTTCTGGCCAGAAAGAGATCGGCAGATGAAAATGACAAGGTTTGGATCTAAATTTATGCTGCGACTAAATCAGGGGTTTCTGCCTCAACAGATAACAACGCAGTGTGAACTTTATCCACCCAATTGTCCAGTCGGTCACGCAATGACTTGATCTGGGGAATCCCCAATACTCTTGGTTGAACCCAGGAAACATAAACTGTTCCCTCAACTTGATCAATAATTCCCTCGATCAGATGCACCTGAAATAAAATTAAACAAACAATTACCACCCTCTGGAAAGGTTCTGGACACCAGTAAGTAATTTTCGATAAGAAAATAACTATACATTATCGGCAAATAACTAAATACCCCAACTTAACAGCAAATGACTTGCATTATTCTAGGATATTTTGCCCAAAAAAGTAAAGAAAAACACTTCATACACCAAGTATTGATAAATCCAAAGACTTTGGTACAATAATAAACCAAGCATCAGTTGCACTAAAGTGCTTGAAATCATCTTCGAAGTCTTCTTTTGTGCAAATACACGTTTTTATCGCTCAAGGTTTCCATTAGAAGGGGGAAAAATAGAAGTGTGTTTAATTATTTAAGCACAGGTCAAACCAAAATTCATATGGGTACATATCACGCCTATATCATAAAGTAGAAGTTCAACTAAGGATAATAAAAAAACCCGACAAGCCCGATACCCGCGGGGACCCGCCCCGCCCCGTTGCCATCCCTAGGTGGAGCTTGATATAAAATATGTGGACATTAGTGATTGATTTACATGGATGCGGCTTCTAAATTGTTATTAGTGGTGGCGGTGATAGATAGTGGTGAGTAAAATACATTATGTTATAGTTTGTGAAATGTTGATTTTATTTGAAAAGTAACATTATATGTTACTAGTGGGGAATCCCGCATTGCACGATGACTGCTATTATTCTGTAAGAGATTTAATTATAACGATGCTCTATATTAGATCATCTAAATATTTAGTTATATAGTGTCAATAATGTGAACAATTGGGTTTATAGAATTAAATTAACTATTGAGTAACTAAAACTAAACATTCCTTGAGGGATTGACAACTCGGACTCATAGTCCACTTCATCATTTGAACGTGGAACGTGCACTTGCTATTTGTGATTCCAATGAACAAATGACACATGTTAAGAATAAAAAACATATGTTAATGTAGAATTCATTTCTTTCGTGGATATCACTGTAATTATGCAATAATGGAAATGGTTGTGTATGATCAAACAAAATATGTAAATAATTAGATTTCATACTTATGTTCACTTTATTTATATAATTTTAGCTTTCTCATCCCAGTTCATGAATAAAAATTAAGTTCCCAAAAACTAAGCTGAACTTTATAATATGTATCGTAGTGTAATATGGTAACATATACAAAATTCTCCTGGCTAAAAGAAGGATTTCAAAAATGCAGCAGTTCTCTTCTTGAACTGCTTGTTCATCTATGCAGCGGACCCAAGGGGTCCTGGGGGCACGTCCCCCTCCCAACTTTTGAGATTCTTTTTTTTTCTTAAATAAAATCACATTTGGTATCTATTGAAATTTAAATTTTAATCTAAATCAAAGTTAACAATTAGTTTTAATAACATATTTCATGGAAAAAGCCTTAGTTTACCAAATATATTTGAATAATCTAACTTTTAAAAATAAGTAAATATTAAAAAATATATTATTGTCTCAGTCTAATGAGTGGGGCAATAAAATGAATTATCAAAAACTTAAAAATAAATAAATAAATGGGATAGTAAAAGGGACAAGGGCCTCGCCCCGCCTTAAACAAGTAATAGGGCGGGGAATTGCTTTGCCCAAACCCGACCGTTGCCATTCCTAAGTTCAACCTCAAGCATACTAGTAGAACCTTAACATGTTTAGCTTCAAAACAGTAGTAGCGAAAACTTGAGATTTAATAACTTAAGAAGTGTCAACCCCATTGAGGCAAATGAGTAAAAAATTAGGTACTGGAAAGACAGATTCTAATTGAAAGGAGTGTAAACACATATTTAATGCTAGTAGTATAATGCAAAGTAGAAGACATGTTCTTAATCAAATTATAGCATAAAGAGAGGTAAAAGTCGCAGGAACTTTAAAAATTGTTATCATAATTAGCCCATGTTTGATCCCCATTTTCCTCAAACTCATTTTCAACAACACATTCTCCAAATGCAATAATTTTAAGCGTAAACCCAAAACATGTCCCACTTTTTAACCACTTTCTCCAAAAAATTCACTATTACAAAATCTATTCTCAATAAAAATAAGACTCAAAACAATCCCTTGGTAATTCTTGAATCTCCTCTCTTAGCCCCTATTTGACAACCATTATTTCCAAATTCTTTTTTCTACGTACTCATTTTCAACCACATATTCACGATAAAAATGGGACTCAAACAACCCCTTAGTGATTCTTGAATCACCTCCTCTCTTAGCCCCCGTTTGACAACCATTATTTCAGCACTCTTTTTTTTATATTCATTTTCAACCGCACATTCAAATAATAAATATTCTGCACGTGAACCCAAACTTTTCTCTACTTTTTAACGACACATTCTCTTAAAAATCACTATTCAAAATATTATTTTTCCCAAATAGGCCATCAAACAGGGGCTTATTAGGTCTACTATTACATGAGTCTATCTTCATTTGTTCCCAAGCATCTTATAGCCCAAAAACCCCATTTTATGTTCACATGAATACGGGAAAGCTTAAAGACAAGAAACAAACCCTGAACAGTTAAATACATGCAGTTTCACTCAGATTATATGAAATAGCGTGTCAGACTTTTTTTCTAAGAATTAGCATCTTCCTCGAGTTAAGTTGTGAAGTGGGACCAATGAACACAGCAAATGTAATATTTAAGCCTTTTTGCTCAAAACCTCAAAGGACATAATGACATAAGCATCAATTACCCATGCAATCAAGATAAGATAGTATTTTTTTGGTTAAGCATGTCAACAAGGAAGCCACAGAAATAACAAATAATATACTTAATGCACTTACTGAAAGGCTCTTCATAAGAAGATACTCCACATCTTCCACAGTAAGTTTTGTCCGTTCAGCAATGACACTTAATGGAATAGTTCTATCTTCTGATGGTCGACTGCAGGTAAATATACGTCGTCAGAATTTAGATAAGGAAGCACATTATAAACGAAGAAAGCACCTCGCCCAGAACAGTAATCTAATATTTCTCCCGATGCACCTGAAAATAGTCTCCATCAAGCACAGAATGTTAATTTTCTCCAGAAGGTTTTTCTCATTCTGCACTAATGCTGGTTGGGCACTCAGAGCAGCCCTATGAACCTGGCACAATTCTTGATAACGAATCAAGTCGCCAGAGTTGAATGCTTCCAGAATATAGTATATCCATTCTACCTTAGTCCCTATGAGACTTTTTACCTGTAGAAACCAAAACAATCAGAATCCAAACTAGTAAATGATAAGGCGTTTTCATATCCATGCTGGTCCCATCCACTACACAAAAAATGTAATCAAAACTCAAAAAGTGCAACGCCATGTGGTTGGAAACACTTTCAGATTAACTATAAAGTCATAGAAGCCCATCCAAAAACATTATAGTTGTTTATTGAGCAACCATGAAAGGGGCCCTCTCCAGAGTTTGCCCCATAGTTTGATGGGGCTAGCCTTAACAGATGATACCCTGCAAATTTTGTAACACTGTCGAAAACTTCCTACGAAAATCTGAGTCTTCCTCTCGTCATCACGAGATAGTTTGAGAAATATAACCAAACATTAATCATTTCATGTGAAGTCCATTTTTAAAAGTGCAATAGAGGAAGTCCATCTTTGAGATCGATTTTCATTTCAAATCTGAAGAACTTTAAATTAATTCAAGATTAGAATATACCATAGAAAGAAAATAAACCGAATCAAGTAAACAGGAGACATGATGGCCGGTTGATGTTCTGGACCATATAGCACACATATTTTCAACACACCTTTAAAAGGCATTATTATGCAAATATATTTCCTGTCTCATCCTATTAAATTAGAACTCCCAACAGCAAATATAATTTACAGCACCCGCCTATTTCATCTCATTTTACTATCTATAAGGTGAACATTGGCAAACGAAGGGCCATAATCTCATTTACCCATGCTTCTTTCCTTATGTAATCCCTTCGTTCACAATTGAATGCGCACATTTGACTTTCACAGACAATTGCAAAAGTTTTATGAATAGTTCATTATTAGCTTATATAATTTCCAAGAATAATTGTAAAACTTATTTTTGACTAAAATGGAAAATATTAAATAAATGCAGCTCGGAAAAACCATTGAAGAAAGTAAAGCTGAACAGCCAATTATGGTTTAAAGGGATGTTCACTTTATGCTTATCTACTAGCAGGCATCCCAATTATAATTTGGTCAAGGAAAGAAGATAACCAAGATTAGCAGTTTCAAGTATCAATAGGCTTTCATCGAAAAACTTTCGTATAGTCATTTAATAGATAAATTTTAACTATAATCTATGCTTCCCTGCTCAGTCTGCACAAAAAAAATAGATTAAAGCTACGTTGAAAACAGTAATAGCTCTTGAAAGTGCCACAATCTAAAATCATGCCTGGAACTTAATTAATCATTTAACTGTATCATTATCTTACAAATCATCAACATATACAATATAACCAAAATATGACAAAATCACGTAAAGAGTCATTTTCAGGACCCTTAATGATTAATCTATGCTTGTCTATTGAAAGCTTGACCCCAATATCAAGGTTCCAAACACATGCTGACACTTGTGGCCAAAAGCCACATGATATACAAAGAATTTTCCTATTCTTTCAGTACACATTCACGTAGGTTGTGAGTGGCTAGACTTTCATGTGATATTTCATACACAACAATCAAATATTGAGTTCCATTCCACTAGAACGCCTGATGACATCTTTTAAAATCTAACCATCATTGGTGGCAACATTAGCGTGTTACATAACACTTCAAATGCACCTTCTACGCATAGTCTATATCTTGCGTCGGGCTTGCACTTAATAGACATTGTTTTCCGTGAATTTATTATTTCTCTCGAAAGCCAGTTATATTTGTTTATATGATGTATAATGTCTCAGTAATTAAAAGTGTCTATTTTCTAGTTGTAGTCCGTAATATGCAGCCATTTCCCTTCAGAACAAAGGTAGGCAATTAGGAATTTTAAAAAAAGTGTAATTAACTGGAAAATATCCTGAAAACCTAAATTAAAATGAAGATTTTGAATTTGAAACTGAAATTCAGAATATTTTTTTTATCCAATGGAAGAATTCCAATTATTTACAGCAAAAGAAATTAATAGTGTGTGTAAATTGATCCTTCCAATTGAACGATTGCCATCTTTCGTTAAAAGTGAATCACTCAATAACTTCTAACATTTCTACCATTTTCACCTGAAAGGAAGAAAAAGAAAATACCTTTTGAAGGAAATGCTTTCTCCTTCACCATTTTAGCATAAAGGAAATGATGGCTACCCTTACCGACGCTTTACTCTAGTCATCCATTTAGTAGACAAATAGAAAAAGCTAAAAGCTATTACCTACTATTGCTGCTTCTACAATCCATTCAACTCGATTTAACCAATTCCAGCAAATGCCAAGTGACACTGGTATTAAATTTCACGTTGTAAAGCAATGCAAAAAAGTCCAAATTTCAGCTTCGATAATGAGAGAAAAATGTAAAAATATGCACACATGCATATACACACCCCACAAGCATATATCATTATAACCTTCATCACATTAAAGCGATTAAGTTTTGATTAGTAAATAAGAAAAGTCAAAGGAAGAAGAGAACATGTTGCAGACATATAACTTACAATTGGATGTGCAAGGAGTTCTCCAAAGTTGTAAATGTTTTCCCCCAACAATGCTGATAGGGACAAATCAAATGCCAATTCCTTGAAAAACAAAAACATTGTTAGCTTAACATGAGAAGATGGAATTGCCAATATCATATCCATCAAAAAGAATTTTGTATAAGAGATTATTGGTTGAACATGACTAGCTATCCACTGATATAGAGCATTTACGTGGATCGTAGATTATTATGATAAGCACCATATAAAATACATAATTATTAACCCTAATACGAATTGCAAATTTCTAAATGACAAAGGCCTGAAAATTATATCAAGCAGCTCATTGTCAACTATACAGATTGGAATTTACAACGGTTACGAACCTTTTTAGATAAGTTGCCGTGAAATTGACCAAGTAAGAGACAAAGATATTGCCATAATATAAAATCAAAAGGCAATAATCCAAGATAATTATATGAATAACACTGAAATACTTGAGACATTTGTGCAAATTTTTTTCTGTTGTTAAATAAATGATGCAAGGTTTTTTTTGAAAAAAAAAACTAAGTAGGAAGAAGGACATCAGGTGACAGAGAAAATACAGCATACCTAAATAAAGAATGTTCAATAGAAACAATTGAACCTTAGATGAATAAGAATAAAAATTTCATGCAAGAACTCCCTGACAAGACACGGAGAATAAGGTAGAAAATGATCCATCTCACCAAGGCTGGCTCTGAACTGAAAGAAGGACATGCCCAATGCACCAACCAGAAGATCCTCTATTAAACAGCCCGACTTTCTGACACTACACCACTATCTATTTCAGCTAGGCGCCCAGTAGTTATGTAAAGACTTAGCTCCCTTTTTACAGGTATTTCTTTCTGAACAAGATAAGTTTAAGAAATTCTGCTTCAACTGAACAATAATTGCCCTAAATCTAACAGAAGTTTAGCACCTACTTCTTAATGATGAGAAAAAGAACCATCTGATATAATATATTCTCAATAGGCACATATCAAGCTCTCAAACAATTGATCTTCATTTTTATTACATGAGAGGCACTAATGATAGTAAGCTTCTCCTTAAATTATTTAAAAAATACATTTATTACCGTACCAGCTTAAATGATTCTGACAGAGACTCCACAGAAGTGTAAGCTAAATAAAGAAGAGCGCTTTTATAGAACTCTGCAAATTCTTGACGAAATTTATGAAGTTGAGATGAAACCCAGTAGTAGCTGGCATACACAGATGGGTCAATGTCAGTCATGCTATCAAGTGTACTCTTCCCATCCTCTAAGAGTTTCTTGCACTCTTTATGATCTCCTTGCTCAAGCTTAAAAGTAGCAATCTGCATCTCTATATAAAGAATAGGCTCCTCTATGCGCATCTCTTTTGTATTACGAAGCTTTTCAATCACTCCTTCAAGATAGTTTATGGCATCCTCTTTCTCCGAATACTGCCGGGAAACTATGACAGCAAAATGAGCAAGCTTGAGGAGATTGATCTTTGTCTCAAACTCAGTTATGAAATTGTGGTAAAGCTGTATTAGAGCATCGCCAGCCTGAAATTAGAAGTGATGAACATGTTTACTGTGAATTAAAATGAAACATAAGAATAGAAATGAAGAGAGGAAAGGAAAGTGCAACATGCACGGCATTCAAGCTTTTATAAACAAGTACAAAAGAAAATCAGTAAAACCTTCAGAAACCTAGGAATACAGTACAAGAGATAAATCGTCTGCGACACCATTAGCAGCTAGAATTTAAGTAAAATGAGATAAGATTACAAGTTGTCTCATCTCACTCTAATCAGTGACATGGAGCATAGCCCCATCCTAAAAATGGACTTATCAGCTTTCCATAATAAGTTAGGGAAAGACATTCATAAATTATAGTTTATATAGTGTGAACCAATTGAAATTTAACTAGCTTGGTAAGAAAGTTTTACGCTGTTAAAACCACAAATTTCCAGACCCCACAATCTTAACCCAAATAAGCACCTACAGCAAATGGTGTTACGTTCTAGAAGGAACAGTAAGCCCCCGTTTGGTTTGGCTTGGCTAAAAATCAAATTTTAGTAGATTTTGACAAAAGTTGATGAAATGTAAGATTGAAAAATTGTGGGTCCCATAAAATGTGCGGTTGAAAATGAGTTTGGGGAAAAATTAGTTTTAAAAAATTGGTGTCAAACAGGGCTTAATGTGACATGAACTCCAGATATATTTTGATGAACCACAAAGGTAATTTCAAATTAAGTGTATGGACATTGTTTATAAAGGCTAAATTAGGTATGTATGCATTTTGCCCCCATGACATGAGGTGTAAGCCTAAAATAGAAATAATTCAAAACTTTGCCAAAATCCAAAATAATACTCATAATAAACTGTAAACTATCTAAACAGTAAAGAAGTCTATGATGCAATTCTAAACTCAAAGTGGATCGACCATCAGAGTAGCAAAAAGTAAGTTGTCTGAAAAAAAAATTTAAAAAAAATAGAAAAGGTATTCAAAAACAGTGCTTTGACTTTTTAAAAAAGACAAAAACAAAAAAAACAGAGACGATTACGAGAAAAGTATAAAAGAAAGAAAACAGATAAGTTCCACATCTTAGGCCCTGTGCCAACAATCATGAGCCGAAAAATCGAAACTTCACTTGGGGCTCCCTTCTTTCTTCTCCAATTTTTTTTCCCCTATAGTTTTTAGCATTTACAGTTGGGTTGTGTTTGAAATAAGTCAAATGAACCTTAAAGCATTCTGAGCTAATAAGAAACCAGCCCAAAAGCTAGATTAGTAGTAAAAGTTCGAAATGGAAAGACAAACAAGTGCAAATCTCAGTCGACTCAAGGCTTATGCAATGAGGCATGCATCTCAGTAAGTAGCAAGTAAAAGGCATGATTATGGATAAATGGTACTCAAAGCACAAGCTTTGAGGGGTTGAAAGAAGGTCTCAGGTGAGCATTGCTCAAGGCATAAGGGGCTTTTTTTAAAACAATGCATATGAACCTTCTAAATGAATATGTTTCTAAGAGCAATCAAATATGCATGTAATCCCAAGTATAGTTCATTAAAACTAACTGTTATAATCATAACTCCATAAATAATGTTATAAACTCCATAAGTAAATTTCCAAATCTTGCATTAGCGTATATCATTAAATGAGTATTTTATCTTTCAAAGAAAATATAACAAGATGAACTCGACTATCATTATTTAGATACTAAGCATGGCCAAGGGATTATATCATCGCCATTACTCGTAAGTAACAAACTTTTTTTTTTCTGTAAATGATTTTCCAATGGCCTCAATAATGGAAATTATAGAATAATATATTTTTTTTGTACTAGTTCATTCATAAACTGAAATGTAAATTACTATGTTGAAATGTCTTAAATCAATAAAAAAACAAATATTATTGAACAGTAAGAAATAAAGACAGGCAGAACTTTGTTCTTATGGGAGCTGATGACGACAAACCATCTTCTCCTTCGACCACACAGCACTACAAACAAATTCCTGATAGCGAATACCCGCAAAGAAGAATCAAGACCAAACAAAAAGAGAATTCCATGAATTATGTTAAATATCAACTCAAGACAAAACAACCAGCTTCTCACGATAAAATGTCATTAACTTTGTTATATCTTGACTAGAGACAAAACAAACAACCAAACTTGGCAAAAAAAAAATGCCATTAATTTTTTTTAATATTGAATCAAGACAAAACAAACAGACAAACTCCGCATAACAAAAATCAATGAATTCTGTCAATTTTTGAATCAAGACAAAACAAATATTCAAACTTCGCACATCAACATGACGTCATTTTTTGTTAAATCTTGACTCAAGGCAAAACAAAAATCCGAATTTCGCGTTGCAAATGCCATGAATTTTGTTAAATTTCTCCATTATTTTCTCATCCTACAGCTGGTTCACGTATAACATCAGGGAAAAGAAGGGAAAAATCCCATTTTTCTAAGAAATAATTCAAATTTCGCCATCCCTTTGAACATAAGAAGATCATCACATACAACCCAATAATAAATAGAAAACCCTAAAACCATAACCCTACTCAAAACACCCGAACCTCTAACATTCAAACAAAACCCAATTCCCAAAATCCATGGAATGATCAAATATCCCTCTGACTAGAAGTAAAACCTAAAAAAAAAAAAAACATGGCAAGTAATTCAAATAAAAAAAAAAATCGACAATGAAATCCATAAAACGCTAATTTCAGTACACATCTATGTTTGGGAATTGGGACCTGAAAGAAGGCGAGGGCGACGAATTGTTCGAGCTTAACGGTGAGCTGGTGCCAGAGTTTGCGCTGGTACAGATCTGCAAGTGTGTTGTACCACTCAGAAAGCTCCGGGTGAGTATTCCGCAGGGTGTCCAGATACTGTAGAGCCGCCATCACTCCTTCCACTACGATTTTGAGCCCTGAATCCGATATATGCTACGTAGAGTACTGGAGGACTACCTACTGAAGTGTAGAGAAAAGAAGGAAGAGAGAATGAGGGGGGGAGGTGGATTTATATAGGTGCGTGCAGGTGCCTTTCTTTTCGCGAAAGAAAGGAAGACGGTGCACGTTACTTACATTACATTTTAACCATCAAAAATGAACTAACGGCTCGATTCCGTTCTAATTAAAATTGGACTTAAATATTGAGAGGAAAAAAATTAAAAGCATTGTCATGCCGATCTCAAGAGTTAAATGTTTTATTAATTATTAAACTTATACTTCTGTTGAGTTTTATTCATCGAATTTTAAAATACTTTCGAGTACTTATTAAATTTTAACATATTGCGCTCCTTACTTATTCACTATATTTCATTAATTACTAGACTTTTTTTTTATACTCGGGTATCTCAACTTTACCAGACTAAATCATGGACCTCCAAAATCCTTGCCCCTAAAACCTTGGAGGAGTTAAATCGCGAGATATTGCATTCGATCACTCAGGCACCATGTTCTACTAATCACTAAACATATACTTCCATCACACTTTACTCACTACTTTCGAATAATCACTAGACTTTACTCACTGAATCTAACTGTTTAAAAATTCAAAATTTTGAAATATAAAATACCGGTCCCATTCTTTTCTTTTGAATTACCTTGAAATAACTCTAAAAATTATATTTTGTTAGTCTTGATTAATATTATAATTATAAGGGAAGATTACACATTCAAGAAAATAAGTTTAGCCTATTTCAAAAATGAGAAAACAAGTTTGAAATTTCCAAAATCAGACTTCTATTAAAAAATTTTAAATTTCTATTTATGAAATAATAAATTATTAAATTAATTTATTATTAAATATTTAATTCTAATATAATATAATTAACCCATCCCACCTTCTCCACCTCTACCGCTCCGACGACCGTTCCGATCACCGCCATACTCTTGCGAACTTTCCGACGATCGTTTCGGTGACTGTCCGGTGAACTTTTCCGGTGACTTTTTCAATTCTGACAATTATTTATATTATTAATTAAATATTTATTTATTTTATTAATTAAATATAATGGTGTTACAATTATACAATTAATGGTCACATATACATAATTAATTGGTCACGGATTATTTTTGAGGTCACAAATCAAAAAAATTATAGGTCACGATTTTTTTATTGGTCACTGACTATTTCGAGGTCACGAATCAGGTCACATGTTATTTTATTGGTCACGAATCAAAAAATTACAGGTCACAGTTATCTATCAATCACATATTTTCAAATTTATTGATCACATATTAATTTTTAGTCACAATTTTAATGTCACAGTTAGATTTTTTTTGTGACCACCCCCGTGACCACCACCAATTTATGTGACCACCCCCATCGCAGATTATTTTTTAGTCACAATTTTAAGGTCACTACCACCGAATTCTGTGACCACCCTCGTGACCACTCCCGTGACCACCACTAATTTCTGTGACCACCCCCGTGACCACCACCGACAACGGTGACCACTCCCGTGACCACCCATCAACTTCTGTGACCACCCCCTGACCACCACTCATCACTGCCACCAGCCACGTCGTCGCTACCACCACCATTGAAATACACCAACATCACCACACCAGCCCACGCTATTTTTGCAACACCAACATCACCACACCACACCACACCACACCGCAACACAACAAAACCACCCCGACCGTCAGTTCCCCACCACAAAATTGCCACCACACAAACACCAACACCGCCACCACACAAACAACCATCAAAACCCTCCCTAACCAGCAGATCTACCACAGAAACACCAAAACCCTCCACAACCTGCAGATCTACCACAGAAACACCACAAAACCCTCACTAATTCTGCTTCGCGCATGCTGGTGCGGTGCTTCGCCGGAGTGGGTGCCGCAAGGCTGTGAAGGGCGACAGGGTCGTTGAGGCTAAGGACGTTGAATAGCAGCGTCGTCGTCGACTGCTGTTCGAACAGCAGCGTCGTCGCGAAGTGGAAGAGGGAGGGGATGCTATCGTTCGAACAACAGCGTCGTCGCGACGCTGCTGTGTGAACAGCAGCGGCAGGAGGGTTGAAGGTAGAGAAAGGCAAGGGAGAGATGGGTAGGGGAAGGAGGGAGAAGGGAAGAGGCTGGAGTTCGTGGTTGGCGGCGAGGTTGAGAGAGAAAGAGAGAAGAGAATGGTGGGTTAGAGAGAGAGAGGAAATGGGAAATTAATTAAGTTTGGTGAAATTTGTAATATAATATTTAAATATTAAATATCTGATTTTGGAATTAAAAAAACTTGGATTTGATTTTGGAAGTTGGATATTGAAATATAGGATTTTGTGTAATTACCACTAATTATAAATCGAAAATCTCACTACTTGTTTGATATATAATTTTTTATTTTCTTAAATTGGGTCATTATCTCTATCGAAATAAGCATATATAATTTCTCCATTTTATTTTCTCAATCTAAAAGAAGATTATAATTTAAATTAAGATTTATATCAATTTAAAGCTAGCATTCTTCTATTTCCTTGAACGTAGCTTTTGACAACTAGAGATTATGGGCCCGTTCGGCATGACTTTTACTTTCTATAGAAGAGTTTTTGAAAGAAACTATTTTAACATTTATTTGTAAACTAATTTTTAAAAGTACTTCATATTTCATAAGTGATTTTGAAGGAAGCTAGATTGGTCCAAAAGCAGCTTTTGGTCTCAAAAACTCATTTTCGACTTTTCAAAAATCACGTCAAATCGGCTCCATATCTTCTTGATCAATATCAACATTCTTCTATTAGATTTAGAGTCTCATTATTATTATTATTATTATTTATCTTGGTCAAATATTGTAGAAAATCAATTTTACTCAAAAAACATTATGAAGTTTAGTGATTATTGGGAAACATTTTAAAGTTCGGTAAGTAAAGTTGATAGATGTATAAGTTCAGTAACTAATGAAACATGATGAGCGAGCAATAAAGAATAACGTGTTAAAGTTTAGTGACCATTCAAAAACATTAACATTTTAAAGTTTAGTAACTTATGTAACATGACGAGTGAATGATGAGGTGCAACGTGTTAAAGTTTAATGATCACTCAAAGACATTTTAAAGTTCAATGAGTAAAATGTGACAGAGATATAAGTTGAGTGACTATTGAGACATTTAACTCTCTCATATCAAAACGAACAGTTAGGGTTGCTTTTGGCTATGAATTCCCATGTAATACAAGCGTTTAAGGTGGATACGCGTCATTTCATCAAATCTTCGAGGAGTCTAATTTCGTGTTTGATGGTTGGCGTGGTGATTGATGATATGCTTTGCTTCTACAAATGCCTTCCCAACTGTTGAAACAATAAGAGAGAAAGGATCGATATCGATATGTGGGAGCATGATTTACCTAGCTCGAATAAACAAAGATGTCTTGCCCTACCAGATTAGGAATGTGAAGGCAATCGAATAGTTCTAATCCAATTATCGATTTTAACAAGAAGCTTGAATTTTAATTCGGTTCCAAAATAAAGAAAATTGTAATATTTAGTTAAATTAGGGTTAATTACATCAATAGTCACTAGAATTTTGAGTAATTATGCTAATCATCACTAAAGTTATTTTTTACAATAATTATCACTTAAATTTCTAAATGTTATACTAATGGTCCTTTGAAATAGCATATGAAACCATTAAGTACTAACATGTCACCAAGTGACACTATTTATTATGCTAAAGCAACAAAATTGCATTATTAGAACCTAATATCAAAGATTAAATAAATTATTTATTTATTTATACATACTATAATTACACTATCATGTTTGTTACTAGAAAGGTTGTTACTTTGTAATTTGATTGATCATCACAAAAATAAAATCAATTTGTCCACTTGATTTATCTTATTAAAAATAAGAAATGAAAATCTTCAACCAAATTGGTTAGTAAAGACTTGAGAAGTGTTGCATTAGAATACAATTGCAAGAATTTTATTTAGTCCCCACATGGCAAGTGGAGAGTTGGGATGAGAGAAAAAATAGCAATGAGATGAGCAAACCACTAAGTTTTGCCCGAGTTTGATAAAAATTAAAATTCAGATTTCAATCTAAATCAAAATTAACAACTAAATTTAATCACACATTTTATAGATATTACAGTTTTTCAATCACATATTTCATTAATTTTTATCAAAATACGTTAAAAATCTAATTTTAATCTCCACCAACTATGGGAGAATTTGTAGTCTTGGCCCTTAAAGTCGCCATTTATTTTGACAAAATATCACTTTTCAGACTCGAGTTCAATTAATTTTCTTACATTATAAGAACTGGAAAAATTGAGGAAACCTGTTATTCGGACTGTTTTTATGGATTTAAAGTTAACAATTAAATGACTTAATTAGATCGATTTTTTGTTCGGTTCTCGATTTTACCAATTGATGGCATGTTGGGTCTAATTGAGAGTTTGTATCCATTATCGAAAACTTATGAAAATATAGCAAAAGAGCTTGATCAATCAAATGTGGATAATGTGATATTTACAACTACATGAAAACGGCACACAATATTTCACCTTTAATTTGACTCTTTATGTTATGCAAAATATCTTAAAGATGTGTATTTGATTACAAACATGGAATTTGAATTTGAAAGCAAATAAGTTTTACAACTTATTTGTATGAAAATTATTAATTAAATGTGTTTGATTGATTTAATTTTCAACCTAGGAAGTGTCATACTTGTCCATCTTTTACTAATAGGTAGACGAGATGGAGAATGAATTGTCTAGAAAATAAAAACCTACCACCCCCTAAAGAAAATTGTCACATGGCCCAATTTTTGAGCAAAATATTGTCGTATGATCAATTTTTGAAAAATATTTTTCATGAAAAAAAATGTCATTCAGACACTTCAAAATAGGGACTTGATAGAAAATGAACATTTTTAATGAAAAATAAAGCTAATCACGACTCACGCCCTTCGTAAAGTAACGATGACCAAAATAGAAAGAAGTCATACACGAAAAGTTGAGTTATTTAGACCAATGAAAAATATTTGAACGTGACGTTTGAACTCCCGAAAATATAATCTCTAAGATATATGTGGGTCCTCGTAAGGAAAAATGAGAACAATGCAAAGCCCAACTTGTATTCTACGAGATTTTGCAAAAACATGGAGTAGGCATTACATTTAGCCCATGTTTGTTAGGGGTTAAAATTTAAATTTTAATATAAATCAAAGTCAACAATAAAACTTTATTTATATATTTTATGAGATTGATAACATTTCAATCACACATTTCATTAATTTTTATTAGAATCTGATTTAGTCCCACCAAATATGGGTTTAAATTTTTAATTAATTCAATCTTGCAAAAGGCTTGACATACGTCTTATGAATATAGTTATTGTCTATCCATATTGTTCACTTGATAGTTACGTACATAAAAATCAATAAAAGATCATAAGCTATCCATTCCTCAAACGTTTAACTTTTATAGCGGTTGACTAGGTCAACTTTTGCTCGACCATGGCGGAAGTTAGAAGTTATCCATTCGACTAACACGTTTCATCCTTCCCATATTCAAAGAGGTAGCTGTTAAATACTTCTTTTAGATAAAGCTCCGACGAATGTCCAGCATAAAGATAAAATAAAAGAAAATATTTTAATGACACATATCTCTCTCTATCTCGGTCGAGCTCGTCGCACCGTACTTGCATGTGCGATTTACATCTTCTGTGTAGTTTGCGAGCTACTGCAAATGGAGCGAAATTTACCTAGCGCGCACTTACAGTGGTCGGACCTCCGCCCCTTCGGGGTTCCGTTGAAGCGTAGCGACTGCGGATTCTCACGTTAACAAAAAAAGAAAAGAAAAAGAAAGAAAGAAACATGTCATTATTTTGTAACTCGTAATTGATTAATGACTAAAGTGAGACAAAAAATTTGTGACTATATAATTCTTTTTCTTTTTATAAAAGAAAATTATTAAATAGTTCGATTTGGTTTTAAATTACTTTTATGATATCAAAACAAGTCGAATATTGGGGTAGATCCTCTACCGATTTATTAATAAGGCGAACAAAAATCAAAATACTACGAATGCAAATAAAAATGTGAACCCTATAGCCTAAAACAAAAATCCAGTCTTTAGATTTCATATAGGAAATGTACCTTTCACCTTTTTCTATTTTATTTTTTCTTCAACTTTTTATGATTCTTTTTACCTTTTTTTTTTTATTGATATGGTTAAGTAAATGATTTCAGGCATAAAACACTTGCAATATTTGCAATATTCTTCTAAAACGCGAAGAATCAATAGACTGGGGATATTGTACGAACTAACTTTGAGGTGGCTCGATGTAGGTTGCCTACGGTGCCGAGGTGAACACCTAAACCAATAGTATGTGCTCTACACATGCTATTAGGTCCAACAAGGGTCAGGTCGTCCTAAACGTAAAAACTTAAACAGGATTAACAACTCCACTAGGTCACATTGTTTGTTTACCATTATTCCAAAAAATTGTTTGCTACTGTAAGATTCTCCACCACACATTCACCCAATAAAATATTCTACACACAAACCAATAACGTTACTTTAAATTTCAACCACACATTCTCCAAAAAATACTATTCATTACTCTATTTTTCTCCCAATAATGAGAGAAACACACCCTGAATATTATGCCAAATTTGACAATAGTAATCAATTATCATAACCATAATCACTTGAGTGCCTAAATTAATTCCCTAAAGGAATCATGACAACACCACCACTAGAACTAACCCCACCAAGAAAACCAATCCTAAAGAGAGAAAATGATTCCCATATGACTTCCGAACAAAGGAAAGTTAATCCTCTTTCCCTATATTAATTCTCCCAATCCCACCATTCTTATGCCAAATAACAAAGCACAATGGTGAAATTGAGAGTCATACTCAATTTGCTTTTTCTTTTGCTCATCATTTTGAGTTCAACCTGGGCTTCGAAAAGCGTTCATGGGAAAGAAGAGGAGGGATGGAGGTGGCAAAGGAAGCCATGGATGAATCATGGAAGTTCCCGGGGACCTCGGGAACGCCTGGTAAATCCCACTTTCGAGCATCCATTTCTAGTTCCCAAATTGCCTGTTTAAGGTTTCGATACCATTGTTATTCTATGTATGCATGTGTTTTTTCATGTCTCCCTGTTGAATGTATATCAGATGTGATTCAGCTTTGGATATACATCTATGTTCTTGGGACAGGTTTAGAGTTTTACATTTTGTTCAGGTTTATACGTCAATCATGATGTGTACTATATGTTTTTGTTCTTACAACCTCAAGACAAAAAATAAAATTTCTATCATTTCTCAAAATATACATGTGGTTTGAGCTCGTCTTTCATATAATACATATTTGGTCGAAAATGTGAGCAAAAAACGAAGCTTTTAAGGGTGAGAACAGAACAAACTGAAGCTTTTACCAAATATTATGAGAAAGTATTCCAATTGTGATAAGTCGATGTTTAAGTTCAGATACCAGACTCTTCGAGTAGCTTAAGGATGCTGTGTTCTGGGGCACTGACTGATGGCAGAATAACTCGATTAGGGGGCCGAGGTTTTGTTCCAGGAGTCACGGATTCTACAGGAGTTGGTGGTTTAGGAATGTTCGGCATATCAGTCCTCCTTTGAAAGCCTGAAGACACTCGCTCCTTCCATATTCTTCCATCCTGATGACCAAATAAAAAATAATAATATTAATTGTTATTTATTTTGGGGCATATCGTCATTTCTGACTATAATGACCTAAACAATCGTCAAATCGCTGCCACCCAATACACAAGAACTTTTTTATTAAACGGTAACGTAAAGAAGTTGTGAATTTTCAACAGTTTAATTTTTCAAATATTTCCTTCCCTCTCTCTTTTACACATTGAGGTTCAATACTGAAATGAAAGTTCAAGAGTAATACAGGGAAAAAATTTAAGAACGAAAAGCGAAAGGTTCCACCCATGGAATATTACTGAAAGGGTGTTCAAACGTAATACACGAAGTCTAATTATCACGTTAGAACAGAAAAGAAGTAACTTTGTACTGACTTTGAACCCTTGATATCATGTGCCGATCACAAAAGAGAGAAGAAATGTGTAGTTTAAGGAACTACAATATATTTGTCATTGTCAACTTCACTGTAACGTTAGAAAGTAATGTAACAATAATGACAACAGAGCTTATCAGCTTATCTCATGCAAACAAATTGTGATTACGATAAAAAGATACTAAGCTTGATATTTTAAAAAGTACAGAATGACAACTTTCCAGGCTGAAAAGTATTCTTGGTTTGCACATAGCAGATTATCGCAATATCTTGTGTTGACCTAAATAAGCTTCCATTCACAAGAGGGATACACTCCACTAAAACAAGTTAGAAGATGATGAGGCAGACCAAGATTGAAATAAAAATTGATTTACTTGAATCGTTTAGAAGGATAGCTAAAAATTGAACAAAATGATAAAGTCTCAGGTTCAGAAAGAATAAGTAGTTTTCGTCTTTGAATGTTGGAATAAGTTAATTTTCAATTCTGCAAGACAATAACTCTATAGAAAACAAATGAATTCTTATCATGCTGGAGTCAATAATTGGGAAAATTTGCTGTAACTAATATACAAGCCTGACATGGTCAACAACAAACTAATCCTTGTTCACAATAAATTTCGAGTCAACTACACGAATCATTTTTCTCCACTTCGTTCTGTTTATTAGCTAGGTCTCCTGGAAGATCTAGCAACTACAAAAGGCCATGTTAGTTTTAGTCTATCCCTCCCTTTTCTGGCTTGTATTATCGAGATAGTGTCAACTCTTTTCTCACATCAGCCTCTTTAGTCTATGCAAAACATGTCCCTAATCAAAGAAGGTTTATACAAATGCGACACTAAGTCTGAAACTGCATAGCTAACCAGTGTATACAGTATACATCAAAAGAAATGGCTTAAAGCTTTGGCAAAATGCTTGACATGGAAAATGGAACCAATAGTATTTCATAAATCAGCAACCAAAAATACAGAAAATGATTGTTTGACTTGAAATCTTATGCCTTTTGATTTACCATTCAAATTCTAAGGATCAAAGGAAGTCAAGCTCACATTAAGAATTGATGGTTCGGGTAATGGACACTGTATTGGCTGATCATTGTCAAGTGGTTCAGTAGGGTGTTCAATCGGCTTGAATTCCACAGCAACTTCAATCCCGTGTGTGGCAGCTGCAGATGCAGATGCAGCTACAGCTGCAGCTGAAGTAACAACACCCGCCACCTCTGAACTAGAAGGCAATACTTCCCTTTCATCCTGCACATTTAGACAACTCACCATAAGCACTTAGACAGCTGAACATGTTAACTAACATACCATAACCAACGACTTATAGGAGAATATCGAGAATATCTTCCATAATGCATCAAATGGTAAAGATGAATCAAGTGATTGATTATAAATGACCAAGAAATCATTTCAACACAATTATGTATTTATGTTTCAGCATAAACCTACCTATACATTATTTAACTACCAATTAGAAGTATTTCATAGGCTTTGTTCAAACTGGGAAATCAAGCAAAGAAAAGACTGGGTACCTAGAATTTGCTAAAATGATTCCAATATCATTAGGTGAAATGTCCTAGGGAAGTTAGTAACCCGATGCTGCTCCAAGCAAAAGATGGTAGCTCAGAAGTAACTTAAAATTATGTTGGAAACGTACAACAAAGTCCCACCCCGGCTAAACATGGGATGGTATTGCGTAGTCCACATAACAGGTTAACTTTTTTGGGATAAAGCCATGTCCAGTCGTGCCTGTGCCTAAAACCAAGTCACGTGGATTTGCAAGGTAAATCTCCAGATGTTTGCGGAATATCTTGAAAAGGTAAAGATGAGAGATTCTGTGAAGGTGAAATCTCAAGGTAGTACTGCCTCCATGGTAACGCTGGCCTGGCGCAGTGGAAACAACACAGATCTCGAAAGAGGTCATAAATTGAGGGGAGGCGTGATGATCATTAGAGTGGGCAATGATTATACGAAATATTTCATTCTGTCAAAGATGTGTGAACAAAAATCCGCATTGGTTCAACATCGAGATGGTCACTTGGATTGGTTACTTCACCTAATAGGTAATTTCTGGGACGAAACTCCAAGTACCAACAAATTCTTAAAAGAATCTTAACAATCATATCCAAAATCAGAGATCAAGAAACCCGCTGAACAAGTCGATGCACATCATACTGTCTTAAACTTCAAACTTTCCAAACACAAACACTATAGATCCAAAAACCCAAGTAAAAACAAACCAATACAGAATTTATTAATCGTGTAAACGTATTATCAGATAAAACGGAGACAGCCCTTTAACCCACTTCATAAAACAAGAAATTAATTCAAGAAATTTTAGAAAGAGAGAGGTGTTACAAGTGCACTTTGAGTCCTCCGATGACCAGCTTTGCTGACAGAAAATCTTGAGAAAATTCCCACCATGATTTCACCTCCCAAAAAACAATTCACATAAAAAAGGCGTGATCTCTAGTAGATGTTCTTTCTTAAAAATGATTCATTTTCTCTCTCTCTCTCTCTCTAGAATGTAGAGAGAGAATGTGAAGATGATAAGACAACTTCAGAATTGGGTTCTTGTTTGGTTTTAATCTAGTTTAAACACATTTATAGATGTCGGCAGTCAGAAATATTTCTTTACTGCTGCTGAATCATTCTAGTAATTTTTTATTCAAGTGGCAGTTGCATGTTGGAATTAGTTAGGAACCATTGATAGCAATTTTTTTGGTAGACGCGATTGGATATTGACATGAATACGAATATGGGACGCGAATACATCACGATAGAGATACGTTTGATGTATACTAAAATAATTATGTTATATGTACATTATTTTTTACATTATTATTTACATTTTGTCACGTGACAATACATCATCAAACAATTAAAAAAAAAAATAATTTTCCAGTTCACTATGTTTTGAAAACATGGGTGATGTCAAAAATAATTTAAGGCAAAGAATGTAAATTTAGCATTATTGATACTAAAATCTATTTGGAGAATGTTTAATTAAAAGTAAGAAAATTGTAAATTCATGTGCAAAATCTTTTTATTTAAAAAAATATAATTTAAAAAGATTTTGAAAAATATTTAAAGAATCTGAGCACGAAATGGAACAAAAAACAGGGCCATGTGGTGAAGGAGAGATTTGAGAAAGAAATGGGGTAGCATGTCTTTATCTTTGATACGCAATGGATTGTTGGGAAGCTACCTACGCATTATACGTGTGATGTCACTGGCCTTGTCCTCTGTGCAATATTTAATAAGTACGTGTTTGTCAAAACTTATATTTTCCTTTTTAAATTGAAAAAACACTACTCTATTACTTACTTATCATCTACATATTTTATACTTACAATAAGCTTTTGCCAACTTGCACTAACTTAAAATACATTTCATAAGGATTCCTTTATCTTTGATGATGCTAATAAAATATGCTAAATGTACATCTAGTTTGACATTTGATCTGGTGTTGAAAAATGATTGGAGGGAACACTGTTTATTTTTTTAAACTCTTCAGCGACATGTTACAGCACGATACAATGTAAAAGATGGTATACAAGATGATGTACGTATAGCATGATAGGGTGCTAATAGAGTAAAATTTGCCGAATAAGCTCAATATCCCTACTCAACCACGATAATGGGAATCCTAGTCTTATCGACTATTGAAGTTCAATGTGACGATCAATTGGACTTTGATGCTCGAAGTTGAATTATTGCCAAGTGTATAAATTTCTGTGTAACAATTAAATGTTGAATATTGACCCAAACTCATTGGTCTTTAACAAGGAGAAAAAGAAAAGCTGAAGATTGAAAAGAGAAAGAGTACAAAATGTACTAGCAATAAAATACTACAACGGGACAACAAAGTTTGAAGGAGATAAATTACCACATGTTTAGTATACAGTATAAATCCAAACGAAAAGCTTACAGGTACAAAATATTATTCTGCCTATAAATACGTCATTTTTTGAGAGAGAGACAAATCAAGTCTTTCGTATATCAATTTTTATTTCCATAAAGTTACAAAAGGAATCAAAGCAAAAGAAAAAAGAATCCTACCATTATATGCAATATCTGATATAGACACTGGATACAAAATATACCTCATTATATGTTGATGCGATTATTCCTAAGGAAAATCAGTCCCCTAAAGGCTGCGTCGCTGGGTTCTAAAGTAGTTAAGAAGTGCCTGAGCCTGCAAGAAAGAAAACCATTGAATATGCAATCTTAAAAATACGGACAAAAAATTTATAATTGCACCTTTTCTTTGGCTCTTATCGTCCCGGACAGCGACAACGCCACGAGTGGGGGAATAGCTCCTTCCAAGAGAGCCTCTTTGCAATATCTACCACTCTTAGTGCATAACTGCAGGAGAGAAGCAGCTGCATTCTCCTTAGCTCTAGCAGATCCCAGCTCAACAACTTCGACTATGACAGGAATTCCCCCGTCCTGGCCAATTCTCATTCTCCCCTCGTAAGTATTTGCAAGATTAGACAAAAGGGCGACTGCCTTATCAACCATCCCTACTGCAGGATCAATCAACTCTATAAGATACTTAACTGCACCTGCCTGCACAATTCGGATTTGGTTCTGGTGATATTTTGACAAGTTCAAAAGAGCTTTCAGAGCATCTTTCCTTCCCCCTGGAGTTCCATTTCCAAGTAAATCAACTAGGGGTTTAATTGCCCTAGACCTGCCAATCTTGATTTTATTTTCTTCAATCTCCGAGAGACTAAAAAGGGTTGCTGCAGAGTTCTGCTTAGCTTCTACGCTCCCTGTCTCAAGAACATGAATCAGGGGTTCAATTGCATCAGCATTTGCAATTGCAGCCTTGTTTTTAACATTAAGTGATAGGTTGAGGAGAGCAGTAACGGCGTTTTCCTGTACAAGTGAGTCTGTGGAACGCAGTAGATTTACCAACAAGCTGATAGCTCCAGAATTAGCAATTAAAATCCGATTATCTGTATCATGCTTAGCAAGTAACCGAAGTTCAGCTGTAGCATTTTTCTGTGCATCAAGGGAAGTATTCTTCAAGTCTTCAACCAGCTTCATAACTTGAGCTTCAACTTCCAGAAAATCAGTCCTCAATTCAACTGCAGGAGAAGAAACTACACTTGGAATAAATTTCTTTAACGCCTCGGCCACAATTGTTTGGCAATGAGATCCTGTCTCGAGCCGAGATGATAAGTCGGGCTCACTTGGTGGGGCTTCCAAGTTAGCAGCAGGTTGGGGCTCTGAAATAAGCTCTCCAGAAGCATCACTACAGTAGGCTGAATCCTGTAATGCCACGTCATTGCCATCGCCAGGTGTTCCGTGCGATGAATTAAAATTAGATAGGCTGCAGGCGGATAAACTGATCATGCCACAAAACGACAGTTCCTCACCATGACCGTTGCTCTCTCTAGATGGTGACCTTGAGAGTTTATCTCCTGTGTTCAAACTCCTCTCTCCTGAGTGATCTGTTATGTCCTCACAACATCCCATGGATATTCTTCCAATGTCCAAAGCATCGTTCTCATTTACGGCAGCTCCCAATAAAGAATTATCTGACAATGAACGAGGATGAGATGCAGATGAAACTTCTCGCAGGAATCCATTAGATGAGATTGAACTCTTCAATGGAGAACTCAAAGACACGGTTGGATCAGGTGCGGTAGAATGATTGGCCCTCCTGGCCACACTATAATTTTTGGGACCTGGCAGCTTTATATTGTTTGACTCATGCCAATTTGCAATCACTCCCTTCACAATATTATTAGGAGTAAGACTGGTGTGAGATAGGGCTTGCCGTGTCTTTGGGCAAACAGTAAACCCAAGATCAATCCACTTCTGAATAAAAGCCCGCTCATAAGTTTGTCCAGATGCAATAATTACAGGGTCGACCATGAGTTCAAGTGAGAGAGGGCAAATGAAATAGGCAGGTATTGGTACTGGGTTACAGGTCTGGGAAAGTTTCACCATAACGAGGTGTTCGTGCATCTGGGTAATCAGAGCAATCATATGATCAATATGTTCAATTTCACCACGTTTTCCAGCATGTTCAGCAGTTTCTTTCAATTTCTCAAGGGCCACAGCCTCTATCAGAACTTCCTGATTTGACTTTAAGCTCAAGATATCAGCAAGTACTGCCAGGCTCTCTGAGCTGGCTCCAGCGCCATCCATGTGATCCTTAATTGCTTTCATGATTATCGATGATGATCCTTCATGTCCCATATGCTTAATTTTCTCTACACGGTGCTGCAATCACAAGTTAAAATTAATTTAGACCGGAAAAATCTTATACTATATTAAAGAAGGATAGCTACACAGTATTCCCGCCTGAGATACTGCCCCAATTTGCCGCCCAAGGGAAGGGCAAAAAAAAAAAGAAAAAAAAAAAAGTAAAAAAAAAAAAAAAAA